GCGTACAAGCCAATCTCGGTCTTCCTCGATCCATAGTTCGCAGTGACAAGAGGCCTGTCTCAGCAACGCGACAATAAGCAGCAGCGAAGGTTAGATGACTCGGCTGCTTTCTGTCTGGAAACGCAATCTGATACAGCCTTGTAACCGCGAGTCCATTACCATTCGTGCGGCTGTATGTAAAAATCATATCTATCTGTTCGCAATATAAATATCTTGCCATTGTTAAACGGAACACTTCCCAGTTAACTCACTACTACAGACGTTAAAATTTGAATACTACCCACAAATGTACAAGAATGACAAATATAATCTAGTTGACATCGCAATACTGGACCACCTACCATAATCTTTCTTAATAAATCAAAAATGAAGGATTTGTGGACATATGTTTATATGGACTTTTTTCCTTGTTTTGATGTGAGGAACCCGCTCCCAATGTTTTAGAGGTATTTTTGATACACAATATATATATATATATATATATATATATATATATATATATATATATGGTGCGATTGGTAAATTGTCGCCATTTTATATTTTTAATTTCGCGCATGCGCGTTGATTGTTTTTGGTTTTGTCGACTACGCAGTATAGTAAGGTACGTTGTGCACCGTCTGTGTGAAAAAAAGAGTACCATGATGCAAATCAGTGCGACAGAAATTTGTAAACAGCATGCAGTATTGCTTGGAATTCACATCGGAAGCTTCAATACGAGCATTTCTGAGTGTTCGGATGTCAGGGCACTGGATTCGGAAAGTGTTGGATGAGTCTAATACTGATTACGAGGGTACGACACATCGGAAAACTCACTCTGATCTTTCTGATATTTTGCCGAATTTGTTGGCGAGGGGCTCAGATTCAACACCGAGGCCTACCTCAAATACCTTGAGAAGGTAGTACTGGCCTGGAAGACCCTATGTCTAGCAACAGGACTCTGCACCATGTCACACAAGCAGGAGAACCCAGTCATGGCTTTCAGACAATTTCTGCGATCACATCACCCCCTACATCTGTCCACCTAACTCCCCAGATTGCAACCCCTTTCATTATTATATGTGTGACGCTGTTGAGCGAGAGACCAACAAAACTCCTTGTAATACTAAAGATGATGGCAGCATTCACCAACTTAAGCAAGGAGAGCGTCCAGAAGAGTTGCAGGAGATTCCGAAGTCGTTTGGAGACCGTGATTGAACCCAATGACGATTTTATTGAATAAATTTACTCTCTAGTATTTCAAGATATTTTTGTGTAATTTTGGTAAATATATCTGTTAAAATGAGAAGTCAGTATTATTTTCATTTTTGCGTAGTTTAGACGACAATTTATCCATCGTTCTATATATATATATATATATATATATATATATATATATATATATATATATATGTGTGTGTGTGTGTGTGTGTGTGTGTGTGTGTGTGTGTTTCTGCACTCCTCTCTCCCCACAACTGTCAGTTTTATGCGTTGGCGGAAACGTGAGACTATGGAAGAAAGAACCATTGACAAAAAGTATTTCAATTTAGAATGAGGGTGGTATCATTGAGGAAAGAGAGGCAATATGGTCGCAATATGGTCTTCGTCAAAATTTTTTTTTTTTTTTTACATGGTTTGTTCCGCTTTATAACTCCACCAATGAGAATGCATAGTTAAAAAAAATTGGGAGTTTAACCGCTGATAAAATTCATTTATTCTATATTTCTCCTTAAGAATTTATTCCAATATCTGCATATTACCACTTATTCTTGCCATTTATTCAGTACATTACTATCCCCAATGCCTGAAAAAATTATCAATTTTTCACTTAGATCGACGTTGCATCTATTTTGGGGTTAGTTTCACCATTTCTATTACCGTATATTTCCTCCTATAAAGCAACCTTTATGTAAGATGAGGTGAAAAAAAAATTAGCAAATTTTCAGGAATTTATTGTATCCTTGTATTATAAGATAACTGCTTATTGATTATATAAAGATGATATAATTGGAATTGTTGTTACATACTGTATCCTTAGAAATTCAAAATACACGAAATAAGAAAACCAATTCTATATAATGTTTTTCCTACACACGTTCCCTAAAAGCGAAACCATTCTTTTCTTTACGTTTCATCACATGATCTCTGCGAATATGGATTCTTCTTCTTCTGTTTCTTCTTCTTTTGTTATATTTAAACATTTATAAACAGCCTGGTGTAGTAATGATTATTTACTTATACTTCATCGACAATCACAAAATACCGTTACCCACAGTATGACAGTGTACTAACATTTCACTTTCAACATTTTTTTTCGTAAACTTATATCGATGTTTACATTTTCTCAGCTGAGCTTGCATGGATAAAAGTTGATTTCATTGATATGGAATTGTTCTTCCAATAGGCAATTTATTATGAAGTTATGCCAATAAGGTAGAAATGGTTTTATTACTTTTATTATCAGTTTAGTTGATAATGTGAATCTTTTTATGTACGTTATTGGTTATCGCACAGAGGCCGAGTTTAAACTACCGACAAACATCATTCAGAATTTAAGTTTTCATTTTTAGAATTGTAGTATGAGACGCCAACCATTTTTTAAGGGTGTTGTTAGTCAATTTTGTTCACTTTCGTATAAATACTCTTTGGAAAATCAGGAATCGGTTTTTCATCCCCGCCCGGTTGTAGAATAAATGGAAGAGTAGACTGGACTCTCTAACTTTAAGTGGTAACTAGTCTAAGAAAAGAAAACATTGAATTCTATAATTCTATTCTATATTCACTGCAAGGAAAGTTGGTTCCCTGTGCCGCGCTAAGAAATTTTTCTCCCCGGAATCGATCTTCCAGATCTACAAATCAACAATTCGCCCTTGCATGGAGTATTGTTGCCATATATGGTCTGGTGCCCCTTCTGTTTGCCTCGGGGTTCTTGATAGGCTCCAGAGGCGGATATGCAATGCAATTTTCGAAAACGCATGACGATTTCGAAATAATAAGGAAACGGATGCACGGTGGAGTAATGGACAGCGGCTCGGGTTGAGGAATTCCAGTCGAAACCATTATATTTACTTACGTACTAATAGCCTTGGGAAAGGTACGAATCCTTTTTTCTCTCCCCGTCCCAGTTATGGGTAAATAGCAGGACAGACCGGGTTCTATAGCCTTGGATGCCAACTTGTCTACCGCAGAAAGAAAAGGCAACCTACTGCGGGGAAAAATGCCTCATCAGTCAGGTATTGAAAGATACATGATCGCCTAATCATGTATCACGCATAGCACATAACTGATTGACTGAAGGAAAAAGGAAGCTGTAGAGAGCCGCCATCGTCTACGTCCTGAACGGACACGGCATTAAAGAATATTTATTATTGTGGCCCTGTGGATCTCGTAAATAGAAAAGAAAAACTGGACGTATTTACTTCTCGCACAAACTTCATATATATATATATATATATATATATATATATATATATATATATATAAACTTATATTTATATATAGAGTGTATATATATATATATATATATATATATATATATATATATATATATATATATATAAACTATTTTATATATATATATATATATATATATATATATATATATATATATATATATATATATATATATATGCTTCATCAGTCATGTATATATATATATATATGAACTTATATATATGTGTCTGTGTGTACGTGCGTGTGCATGCGTGTGTGTATGCGCGCGCGTGTGTTTGTTTAACGACTCGCTTATATAAATACACACCTTTACATTGAGGTAAACTTCCGCACATACTGCATTTTAAAAAGATAAGCTTTTCTTTATTTATTTTATCCTAAACGATACGTTAGTCGAGAATTAGTACGAACACCATTGACATCTGATATTCAAACCTTAAACTGCAGCAAAGAAAAGAAAAAAAAATCAAATATATCGTTTTGCGATAGCATTGGACACAAATGTCTTTTAAAAAAACAAAAAACAAAAAACAAAACATACATTTAATGGCGATAACAATGTAGAGAAAGGAAAAATAACAAAAAAATTCCCGATAAGCTGTGAACACCCTTTTTGCAGCGTTAGGGGAAATCTACCAACGTCACTTTGGAAAAAAAAATCGTTGGGATAAAGATTTAGGCCTGAAACGAGATAAAAGTTAACGGGCGAAATGTCAAAATGGAAAAGAAAATAACGTGACAAAAGGGACCTTTCAGTATTTCATGAGATTCATGAAACTGACCTTAGTATGACAGAGGCTAATTTCTGTTTCGGAATCATGAGAAATCTTTTTTGTTTTTAAAGAAATGCAAAAATGCTAAAAGCCTTTCTTTTTTTTTTAATTTAATTGTAAAATTCTCTTGAGTAGTGTTTTCTACTTACCTACGCTTTTGGTGTAATTATAGTTCAGTCTCCTTTACTTTATCAACATCCTCATGTGGCTCTCGACCTGTTGATCTCACTAGAGAAAATTCAATATTCTCCCAAACATCTTTCTATCTATTTATCATGAAAGAAAGGAAGAAAGAAAGAGATCATATATACAAAGAGAAGAGCTATTTAATGGAAGCTGCCAAGTTACAATTCCTTTCTATTTTGTGTCGTTCGCTTAGAGCTAACGCCACTGGAAAAAAAAAAAGCTTGAAATTATTTTTCCTGTGGCAGAGCAGAATGGAATCTCTTGAGTTGGGTGACAGACAGTTTGTCTAGCAGAAGGAGAATTCTGACTTCATATTTGAGGAGGGCTGTTTGAATAATTCGTGTACCATTTCTCTGCTATCAGTTCTTCCAAAATGTGTGGATGTTTCTTCACAAGCCCATAATCAAATCATCTGTGGCTGTGTTAATGGTTCAGGTTTCGACTGAATTGTTGGGCCTTAATACGTCGTAACCAGCAGATGAATCCGGAAGTTGCGCCATCCACACTGACACTTAGCCACAGTCTTAATGCAGAGGAACTAAAAAGCATTAATTTTTTATAAAATTTGTGCAACACTATCTTCTTACTTTCTTACTACTTTTTCATTCTAAGTATATAATACACACACACGCGCGCATATCTATCTATCTATCTATCTATCTGTCTGTCTGTCTGTCTGTCTGTCTCTCTCTCTCTCTCTATATATATATATATATATATATATATCAAAGAAAAACAGACCACTTTAAGGTTCCATTATAATAATTTATTTCACCAGAGCCCTTTTAAAGGACGCTGGATCATCAGATAGCACTTCCAATGGAAGTGGTCTGTTTTTCTTTAAAATATTAGTTTGGGATTTACATTAAGCTCTCAAAATTTCATCCTCCTTGGGACTACCCATACGGATTACCAAGTTTTTCATAACTTAAATAAATATATATATATAATAAGATAAAATATAGTTTTAAGGTATGCTATATTTATGGGTTAAAGTGTTCAATATCAGAGATAAGGCGTATACAAATATAAAAGTAGTCATTGAAGTCAAAACCCAGCGGCGACAGTTCTCATCTTCATTGCCATATTCACAACGTTTGGCTGTTGTACACCCCGGTATTCTTCAAGTGATTGGAATTTCGAACCGAACCATTTATTTCGTCGACCGGAGGTTTTTGTATATTATTTGAATTGTTTGCGATGATGGATTTCTCGCCAATTAAATCATTAACCTTTGCATTTGTTTTTGTGTGAATAATTCATGAATATATATATATATATATATATATATATATATATATATATATATATATATATATATATATATATATGCGTGTGTGTGTATTTTAGATCTTATCAGTCGTGGGAAGAGATCCCTTGTGCAGGAGTGAATATAATCAGTTTGTGGAAAATAAGCTATCTGTTACAAAATAAAGAAGCGAGATAATAGATTACCTTTCATTGGCGCATCTGTTCTATCGCTCAGGTGTTCTCTCCATCTGGTATAATATTCCAATCCTACTTACTGTTATGATAATTCCTGTCTATAATTGATTCTCCGCTTTTTTACCTCATGTGTCAGCTGGCCCGCCTAACAAGAAACGGTTGTTTAGTCCTCTGGCCGACGACTTCAAAGCGAGGCACCGACAATGGTATATCCTTTTTCTTATATATCACTTAAATATTTAAGACGTCTGCCGCGAAATGACAGTCGGTTGTATTGAATAACCATAAGTTGATTTAAAAAAATAAATCCCGTTTTTTCAAGACATCGCCATGGTTAACCATTCAGTAGAACTGTAGGGCATTGTCACATCGTTCGTGCTGTAGAGTTTCAAAACACTGTGTAGTGAGTTCCGATAAAAATAAAATATAAGAATAAAAAAAAATATAATTATAAAATATATAAACAAAAATAATTCAAATTAAAATAAGGCATTGGCGCTTTCCTTTAAAACTATTATCATTTTCTTTGTCTCTTTCTCTAAACTTCTATTTCTAGAAAAAAAGAGGAGTAAAAAAAAAGTCTGAACTAGGACAAAAACACCAGAAGTTTGCAAGAGCCGAGCCTACTTATATGTGATTGAAACATTAAAAAAAATCATGGAGGCTCCACGCATAACTTCCGTTATAAAAAATTGTAAAAGAAAGAAAGAAATTAATTTAACCAATCAAAATAATTGACACAAAGATGTATTTTCCAAATTTGCAAGTATCGATTAATATGTTGATGTGTTTTTGAGCGAAAAAAACAACAAAAAAAAACGATACATTTCTCGTAGGAATCAGGATTTAAACATCAATACCACTAATTGAAAACACTCCAGCAATACCACACAATTTATTAGCTTTTGTTTAGAATCTGAGAATGCCAAATTCTAGCAGATACCGCCTTGGAAATTTGTAATATATTTCATTCTTTTCTGATATAAGTTTTTTTTTTCATTTCACCCCAAGTAAGACAATAGAGCCACTAAGACGCAAGAGGTTAGTGAATGTGAAAGAATATGAGATAAATAATTTTAATGAGAAAAAGAAAAAATAGTAGAATAGGACAGAAGATAATAAATGGATTGCCTTTAAATTTTTGAAAGATCAAAAAAAAAAAAAGAAAAAAGATACATTTCTCGTACGAATATAAAGTGCTGCTTTAGCGCAAAAACAAGATATGGTTCTATAAAAAATATAAAAATAATTATTGCATAAAAAACAACTTTTGATTTTTCCTCTTGATGACAAATATTTTCATGATAAAATATTATTTTTGTTATGTTCTGGGCTTTCTTTCATCATGGACGCACATTTTTCTGCGAATTTTTATTTTTAGTTTGTTTAGTCTCTGGAAGGCATCTCCCAAGAAGCATTTGAGTCTTCTTATCACATTCTCCGTCGTCTGTTACTCAGATAATTTAAATACCGCTTCTAAAGAAAACTACAAAACCTCCTACAAAAAGTAACGAAAAAAAGCGAGAAGAAAGGACAAAGTGTAAACTACAAGAAGACGGAATGCATGATTATAAGCAAAAGGTCAAGACAAAAAAAAAAAAAATGCAAATTACAAATCGGGGGCACTAAAATGAAATAAGTACAAACATTTAAATATCTGGGTAGTGTTCTAAGAGATGACAGAAAGTGCAACACTGAAATCCGAAGACGTATTGGGATAGCCAAAGATGCATTCCAAAAGCTAAGCAGAGTATTAAGAGACTGAAAAATTTCTTTAGAAACAAAGAAAAAGAATTTAACTGTTACGTGATATATGTCCTCCTATATGGTAGAGGATTCTGAACAATCTCCTTATAGATGAAGAAGAGACTTGAAGCAAAAAGAATGTGGTTCTACAGAAAGATGTCAAGGATACCGTCGGTTGGACATGTGAACAACGACGAAGTTTTGGGGAAAACGGTAACAAAAAGGAAACTTATAATTAACATCAGGAAGAGACATTTGAAATTTCTGTGGCAGATAATGAGAAAGGACTGCTTGGAAAACTTGATACTCACAAGGACAGACTGAGAGAAAGAGAGACAGAGAAAAGCAGCGTGTAACAGACTTGATGAGCTTGAATAAATAGATGGGATATCATGGTTTGGGAGGAGCTACAAGGGACAGGATGATGTGGATGGCCTTGATTGATTGATGGCCTACGTCCTGTAGGGTCAGGACACATAAAAGAAGAATTTGGTAACTGCAGCAGTTACCAAGTTATTGTATATTCTTTTATATTCCTCCCAGTCCATATTTTGCTATTTACACAAAATCGTTGGCTAGGTTACTCGATGTTTCCGTCTGTCCCTCTTGCCTTCAATACAAGCGTCACATTCTTCTCATTGTGCGTTCCAGAAATTTCAACTCACTCTTTTTGATCAGGAGCACACGTTTTCTTTTCCTTCGCCTTTTCTTAAAACTTCCTCGTTTCGCACATGTTCCGTCTTTGGTGTCTTCAATATCTCTGTTGCCTCAAGTCTCCTCATTATCTGGTCCGGCATTCATTGCTATATCGAAGGACATAATAGTTGCGCACTGTTATCTTTGTTTTCAACGATATTTTTTTTCTATTTCTTAATGTTTTATTTAGTTTTGGAAAGTATTTGTCGCTGTTCCAACGGACTCTCGGATAAAAAATTCCTATATCATTGGCCATCTTATGATATAGTCACAATCACGTCAGTATCCCCTCCATGTCTGAGCTTAGACAGTGATGCATACTTCGATAGAATTTGGTGTGAAATACTCCTGCTCAACTAGCGGTCATGCAGTGGATACACACATACATACTACATTTGTTCAATTAGATCCGTGTGGTCGGATTTGGGGTCTTCGAGGGTTTGTATTCGAGGTATTGAGTCATGATTAACAAGTTTATCTCGTTGAGTATACTTAATTGAAGTGTGTTCGATTCTCATTGTGCATTTGTGACTTTGAATTTGATTGAAATGATGAAAATTCCGCTCGGAATGAATTAGAATTTAAGTATCTGTCTATATTTCTGAGATGAGGTATTATGTACAGGTGACAGTGACAGGACCCAAAGAGTTGTGAGTTCAATATCTGGTTAAGGCAGTGGGGAACTTGGAGAGGTGAATTAACAGGAGATAACCGATAACTGACATCCATTAGACACGGCACGTGGAACCAGAACGGTCTACCACAGCGAGCGAAATAAAGGGTTCAGTTCGACATTCCAACCACCTGAAGAAGGCCGGAGTATACAACGGCCGAATTGTTGTGATAAATATGGCAACAAAGATGAGGACAATAGTGCGAATAATGTAAATAGTGTAAAATTTAATTTTCAATCGTTTTTCAATTTTTAAACATTTCACTATTTTTCTTTTTTTGCTTTTGTTTACCACATGAAACCTAAAAAGAGACTTGGGGTTCGGTACCCAGGTAGGATGAAACGTTCATAGGCTGACTATGAGCGAGTGATGATAGGGCTGTGAAATCTTGCATGCATTAATTTCAATTCTTCTTATTAACAACTGCATTATTCCATTCCAGGTAAGCTGACGTCTGACTGTTCAAAAGTAACTAGTAGCGACATCTCTTAAAAATGGACAAAATTTGGTATCGATCTGTTATCAAGTACCTACAGAAAAAAGGGTTTATCACCCAAGGACATTCATGCTGACATGGTTGCTTCATTAGGGACGACGTTTCCAGTTTTATCAACAGTGCCAAATTAGGCTGCTGAATTCAGCAGAGGAAAGGAGAGACTTCGTGGTTACCAAAGGTCTGGACGTCCTGCGACTACGACTACTGAGAAAAACATTGATTGTCTTCATCACATGGTGATCGATAACATACGATTGACTATAAATCAAATAGCCTATTAGCATAGCTCATGAGAGAGATGAGAATATTATGCCCAATGAACTTGAGATAAGAAAGGTTTCTGACACCTGATCAAAAGCGCATCAGTTTGATCACATCACGGGAAAATATGACATCTTTTGATGCAGATCAAGTTGGTTTCATTGAAAGTTTCCTAACCAGGAAAAAAATGCACTCCTCCTCGCCTCCTCCAAAGAAGGCCACGGTCGTTTCTTCTGCAGGGAAGTTGATGACCTCAGATATTTGCAATGCAGAAGGCATTGTGTTTATTGATTATCTTTAAAAGGGACATCAGTGGAGTGTAATATACTAGTTAGTTGAGATAGTTACGAAAGGCTTATCAAGAGAAAATGCCTTGGAAGACCAACGAAAAGGTTTCTGTTTTATTAGCACAATGCTCCTTGATTCTAATGGTTGCTATACGTGACTGTGATTTGATCATCCTTCCTATTCTGACTTGGACCCCACTGACTCTCATCTGCTCCTCAATTTGAAAAAAAAAAACCCATTTGACTGGGATCGAGTATCGCAGTGATGATAACGCCATATCTGCTACTGATTGCATTTTTGTAACCAACAGGATGAAAGATTCTTCACCAATGGGATCCAAGCACTGAAACATCTATGGAAGTTGGACAGTGGACTATGATACGTTTTTTAGCCACCTTTGATTACAACGATTTTGCCTTGTGTAATAAAGTATCTTCTTTTTTTTCAGACAATACAGTGTTATTATTAAGCCACGCTCATCTATGGACGATAGTTGACTTATATTTTGCAATGAAAGTTCGCAGAAGTAAGGAAAATGGTGAATTTCAACTAGGGCAAATAATAAGATGGCATCAGTGTGACAAGTCAAGCAGAGAAATTGCTCGGGTTTTCCAGGTTAATCATCAAACGGTTAATAATATTGTCAAGAGATTTAATGAAGAAAGCCATTGTCTTGTGGAACAACTTTCAGGAAGACCAAGCATTGTGTCTGAGCAAACGAAAAGAGCGCTCAAGAGGGAAGTCATCAGAAACCGTCGTCAAAGCGTCAAAGACGTCGCCAACTACATGGAAATGTTGCTATATACGGTGAGAAAGACTCTGAAAGAGCTAGGCTATCAAAGAAAAGTTGCAAGAAAGAAGCCCTTGATTTTAGAGGTTAAAAGGAACAAACATATGGACTGGGCGAGAGATGTCGAGAGCAAAGATTATGAATTTTGGCAGTCTTTAATTTGGTCAGATGAAAGTAAATTCTGCCAATATTCAGATTCGAGACAGGTTTATGTTTGGAGAAATCAGAATGAGACTTGGAACACAATATCTGCAGGCAACCCTGAAACATGGAATGATTGGAGTAATGGTGTGGGGGCGCCGTCAGGTTTGGTGGGAAATCTGAGCTCACTCTTGTTGACAAGCGATTGAATGGTCCAAAATACTGTCAAATATTAGCGAAAGGACAACTCCCACTATTCGAAACCAATCAGCATGACAAGAATGTCTACGTTTTTCAAGAAGATGGGACGCTATATCATACGAATAAAGTCGCAAAGGCCTGGAGGGAATTGCAAGGAATCAAGTCACTGCCATGGGTAGACTAAAGTCCTGACATGAATCCAATAGAGCGCGTTTGGGAACACCTTGACGGAAAACTTCGAGAGCGTGCAACAAAAATCATGTCAATGGCAACCCTTAAAGAAACATTGCTAAAGGAGTGGCAAAATATGGCTCAGACGATTGTTGATAACTTTATCAAATACATGAAAAATCGGATACAAACACTGAAAGTAGCAAATGGAGGACCTACTCCATACTAGTTCCAAATACTTTTATGTTGAATAGGGATTACGTAATTAAATTTTGAAATTGGATGTAATTTATTTCTCCTGGCTAAGAAGTTTTCTTAGGCCATTGTATGTCGACCGCAAGGCAAGTTATATTGCAAAAAAATAAAAAATAAAAATAAAATAAAAAATAAACACGTTTAGTTACATTCAATGAGAGTGTATTGGTCAGCCTATAAAGCTTGTCAGCCAACCCATGTATCAACCCCTGTTGAGTCTATAAGCATTTACTTTGTCCGGAGATAAATAAGTGTTGTTTATATTTGAACATGTTATCATTTACTTCGCAGACGGCTTTTCTGGCGTGTATGTGGGTGGGTGGGGGGTAGTCTTACTCGTCCGCAGGAGATGCACTTAGCGTATTTTAGGTACAAACGAAAGGGAATTTTTATTATTCACTAACGTAATGAGTAAGTGTAAATTTTCGCTCTTTCACTCAAATTTGTATGATGATTTGCCTTGAGTATGTTTGCGTGTATGTTTGTTATGTCAATATATGGCACATAGTAGCGCAGTGTTTGCTAGCGCAATATCGTTCCAAGGCTTTAACTTGGTGATAAAACATTTTCTAACACAATCGGATCATTAGTTTCCATGTAATTTTGATTAAGTTATAAACCGATCCTAAATCTCTGTCCAAGGAATATAAATCCTTGTGTATTAAAAGATAATTACAGGATTGTTTCTTTTATGTGTCTTAATAAAATACGAAGAATATCACAAGAAAGAATCCTTGACTTGGTTGCATTATTTTCCCTCAGTAGTAGTGATAAGTGACGGTACTTTACTAGTGATACTGCTACTACTACTACTGCTACTACTACTAATAATACTAATGCGACTAATAATAAATGCCCTGATAGCCCTCATGGCTTCCTATCTTAAGTGATTGGATGTGTTAGCATATACATGTTTTTCTTGGTGAATTAAGATAGGCCTCGGTAAATATCGCTTTCACTACCACAGATTTGCTTTTCTGTTGCCTGACTTTAATCACGTGTGTATGTTCCCTAGGGGATGACGCACTGTACCTCTCAGTTTATGGGCTGGAGTATTGAAGGAACATCATGGACGCGTATCAAGATATTTGTTGCTTAATTTGAATTATGAGGGAGACAAAGAGTCATGAGAGTTACAGCTAGATACTCACTATGAATCGGAGACCGTTACAATGAACTGAGTAAAGCGATGAAGTTAGTTTTAACTGGTCTCTACCTCGAGGATTGCGTGCTGTATTTAGCAAAACCTGTGATGCATCTGTCTGTGATGCATCTTATCAGACTGGGTATCATTAGAGCGATGTTGATTTTCATGCATTTGTAATATGTTGGCGTGCTTCACTCTCAATATAGTAGTAGACACAGATTTAACACGCGAAATAGCGCCCTCTTTAGTCAAATGTGGTATCATTGGTGATAACTTTCCACAGCGCAGTACGGGTCCACGAAATATGGAGGCCGTGCGCTATCCAAATCTAAGAGCTCCGTCTTGGCCGTAATAAGATCCAAATGAATAATAATAATAATAATAATTTGGGTGTGTTTCATGTACCCTTATACCTTTATCAGATCGGGTGTCATGACGGGTATATTGGGCATATATTTGTACCCAAGCGTCACTCTGTTAGCATGCTGCTCTCTCACACGATACTACTACTACTACTACTACTGCTACTACTACTACTACTGCTAATAATAATAATAATAATAATAATAATAATAATAATAAGAGTCTTCTCGATAATTAACATTTGCAAGTAATTATAATATAAATTCGAAAAATAAGAAGTGGCGTGACATCGAGCGGAGGCCGCCGAAGGAGGCATTTAATTAAGTTTCATCAAATAGTTTTTTTTTTTTTCTTGTCAGTGTGCGTTTCTCGGAATGAGTTTCAACATTGCGACATTGGCACCACCTGTCTCGGATGTTCAAATTACAAATAGTTTAGTTAACTTTCACTTTGTTTATTGACAGGCATCAGCTGACGATATGCATAACACGTCTGCAAATTTGGAAGTCCGGGTGTTGCCTTGAAAGCCATCGTAAAGAGCAATGTTGCTTTCCTTTTTCAGTATCCCTTTCCTTCCCTCTAGTTCTTGTCTCTACTCTCTTTTTTTTTTTGTTTGCCTCTCTTCTTCTTCTTCTTCTTCTTCTTCTTCTTCTTCTTTCTCTCTCATTCCTTCTATATTAGTTTTCTATATTAGTTTTTTCTATTTTCTTTCCTTATCGCTTTTCTCTTTCTTTTTCTTCTCTTCGCTCTTTTTCCTTTTTCTCTTTTTCTGTCTCTTCATTTCTTTCTTTCTAGTTGTGCAGGTGGTGGGATGGATGGCTGCTCTGATATTGAGAATTTGGAGAGCCGAGTTCGAATTTCAATCGAGTTCGTTTACACTTGGAAAAGGCATGACTCCATCTCTTTCACTCTCCAGTTATAGATTAAATAGTAGAGCAGATTGGACTCTTCAGTCGTGGTTGTCAATGAGTCTAGGGAAAAAAAATCCAACTTCAAATTGAAAAGAAACCGTATGTCGTCGCCTTGGTGAAGTGCGTACTATACAATCAAATAAAGGATCGTGAACGTCACGATGATTCTGATCCCGACTGCAGTCGGCTTCTTTTATTCCGCGTTTCTCTCCTTGTCTGTTTCATCTTCTTTTTACCTCTTCTCTTTCATTCTGTTTTTCTTTATATATATATATATATATATATATATATATATATATATATATATATATATATATATATATATATATATATCGCCGTTTTCATTCATTCAGCTCTTTGTTCTCTTTTTATTTTTTCTCTTTTCTTCACTTTCTTTCTTTTCTATTTAGTGCTTCTCTTTTTATTACTCTCTCTGTTTTTCCTTCTTTTTCCTTTTCTCTTTTAACGTTCTCTTCTTTTTTTTTCTTTCTTCTCTATTTCGGCTTTCTCTTTTTCAGTCATTATCATTCATTCTATTTTTCTTCTTTTCCCTTCTCTGTTTTCTGTCTCCTCCTTCTATTTCTTATTTCAATTTTCCTTTTTTTTTTTTGATATATATATATATATATATATATATATATATATATATATATATATATATATATATATACATATATATATATATATATATATATATATATATATATATATCGTTCTCATTCTTCTTTCTTCCTTTCATTCTTTTATTCCCATGTCTTTCATTCAGTCACTCGTTCTTTCTTTCTTTCTTTCTTTCTGGATAAAGCCACTGGACAAAATTGAGAGACAGACCAAAACAAGGAAGGAAAAAAAAAAAAAAAACGTCCCCGGTTGCTGAAAACAGTCGAATTATCACAGGCAAAGTCATGTTAGATGTTATTTCAAGATATTAAGCGATTTACCAGTAACTTATACAAAGCCTCGCCACATTTCTCCCTTCCTTTCCCTTTTTCCCACATATTTTTATTACTTTTACGAATCTTACCAGTCGAAAATGGAATCAGCATTTTAGCAGATGATAAAATCGTTATGTCAGGCAATAGGAAAACATTTTAAACCCAGAAATGAACGATTTTCTGATGTGCATTTTCATAAATTGCTTTGAAGGAAAATAACCAATAAGAAAATATTTATGATAGGAAAAGGGAATACTACTACTACTACTACTACTACTACTAATAATAATAATAATAATAATAATTTGTAATGACGAGTCATTGTAAGCACCCCAATACATGTAAGGTAGGGTATGTTATTCTGAAACTCCACAAAAATATGTAGATCGGAAATAAAATAACTGTTGGATGATAGGTGACTGTATTACCAATCATTATTTTAATACTCGGAAGAAAAGGTATGAACTAATAAGTGAGCGCGCGCGCAAACACACACACACACACACACAAACACAAACACACAAACACACAAACACACACACATACATATATTGAGTACTTTTACCCATAAATATAACATAACTTAAAGCTCATTTTAACAGCGGCGACAGTCTGTTTCATGCTTAAATGCAATCATCAGGCATGAAACAGACTGTCAACTGAGTGCCGACCTCAATGTCAACTTTTATATTAGCATACGCGCCACTCTTGATATCAAGCACTTTAATTCATAAATATAGCATACATTAAAACTATTTATTATAGGAGATTAAAACAAAAACATGTTGTAAAAATCGCTACACAATATCAAACATGTTTTGACGCTACAAATGTGCCTCCTCGGGCGATGTTAAATTACTGGTGAGTTTTTGTTTTAATCACCTATAATAAATAATATGTATCTCTACTCTGTTAAGCTGTACTCTTTTAAATTAAATGTTACGGACAATGGAATTATATTCCATTTGTTCTTATCTTCCGATATACATACATACATACATATATATATATATATATATATATATATATATATATATATATATATATATTAAGCATTTCGTGCCAAGCTAGGCAGGGGTTCACTAGCAAACAAGGGGTTACATAGAGAGGGAGCAAGAGTAAAGAGGTGTGATGGAGGAAATGATGAAAAGGACGGGGTATAGATCAAGGCATCTGGAGATGTCGATTGACATTGCATTTGGATATTTGGAGATTATAGCTATCAGTGAAGCAATTAAGAGGAAGGGAGTTCCACAGACGGGAAATGCGAAACATGAAGCTATTGGAGTAGAAGAGACGGCTACATTTAACTGTTTCATTTATATATGTCACTTCAAAATTCACTTTTCGACACTTCCATTTTACGAATGACGTATCTATCTGTACAAATACAGATGTACATCGATATCCGAAAGCACGTAAATGGAAGACGGAATTATTATTAATTTATATGGGGAAAAATTTGAGCGTTTGCTGTCTCCATCAAATAATCGTCTTCCATCCATATGACGATTGTTCGCTGTCGTGTAGAAAATTAGATATTACATCGCTGTTCAGGAGTCCTTTTCTGTGTTTCTAACCAAATACCTCGGGACTCTTAATACTTTTCTTAGTTTCTGGAAGACACTATTTCTGTTTAACTTCGGATTTGTATGTCACATTATTACGACAATACTCAAATAGTTAAATATGAAGATGTACATGAAAAAGCCCAGGAGGAGGTCCGAAGATCGACTCCATAACAATTAATAAGAGATTCAGGAATACAGTTCTACACAGTAAAACGTACTTCATCGTTCGCACTATTGTTCTTATCTTTATTGTCATATTCACGACGTTTCGGTCCCGTTGTAAGCTCCGGCCTTCTTCCGGTGATATACTTTGGAATTTCAAACCGACTTGTTTATTTAGTCCACGGGAGTAGATTGTCCTAATTCCCCGTATAATGCCTTTATTTTATTTTTTGTATATCTTAGTTTCAGTTAATTTCCATTAGTAACTCAACTCTCGAAGCTGTTTCCTCTACTGTGGCCGTATATTGAACTCACAACTCTTTCGTTCAAGTCACTTTTTGGATTACTTAACCAACGCTTTTATCAACTGCGCCAACGTATATCAGAACCTACAAAGGTCGGAAATATGGCAATAAAGATGAGGACAACAGTCTGATCGATGTAGATAGTGAAATCTATCAAGGTAACAACTGTGGGAGTGACAGCGATTCCGTATTATGCAAAATTAGACTAAGGAAGTAACCCAAAATAACACCGAAACACCAATACTAACTCAAGGACGATTCAACTTGCAAACAGATGTATGCTGACTTAGCCAACAGTAAATAATGTAGATGAAACAAAAAGTACAGAGTTTATGAGAACTTCGACAAACATCAGTAAATGAGTTCTTTCCTGGTTAAGAGGCATAAAAAGTGGATGAAATTCTCAACATGATATTAAAGCAGACGGCATGTACCATCAGTGAATGTGTGCAGTATACAGAATATTAAATACAAACATGGGGAACATATGCAGGCAGGTAAACAAACATGGCAGAGAAAGTGTGCAAAGAGGAAGAAAGCAGAGCATCGTAGATAGGGCAGGTATTCATAGAATAATTAACCGAAAAAAAACGTGCACCTCGACAGGAGGCATAAAAATTACAGTGAACACTCATAATAGAGAAAGAAAAAAATCCAAGATGGAAGAACTTTTCCCGATGAACAATACATAAATGAAAGGAGGGACCGGGAATACTAAAATCTGAGTTAAGGTCGGTATTGACGAAGAGGATCTAGGATAAATCAGCAGATGAGATTGTAACCGATATTCTAACAGCCCTTGACGAGATCGGAATCGACAAGATGATGGAAATAATAAAGGAAATATAGAACAATGGTGACATACCGGAAGTCCTTAGTACAGCCATCTTCATAGCCATCAACTAAAAATCAAAGCGCGAACAAATGCGATCACCAACGTACTAGCAGCTTAATGAGCCATGAAACTAAGTTTATCACCCAGATTCTGAATATATAATGTCCAGCAGAATCAGTCAGGAAATAGGGAAGAGATGTGACTACATTAAAGACACTGGAGCAAGGAACGCGATCTTCATATTCAGAATTATATCAAAACGAACAACACAAATACAGAAGGGCACAGAGGCAGACCACGTATGTTTGCAAAAGCATTTGACAAGGTACACAAGGAGCTATTTGAACTGTTAGGAAAACTCCATTTATTCAGGAAAAATATTAGAATTATCCGCACCATTTACTGGGTTCAAACCACCAGCAGACGGATAGAAAATGAATGAAGTAAGCAAAAATAGAAAAGGGCGTAATACAAAGATGCGTCTTTTCACGAAATTTAATTGATTTTGTTGTATCGACGAAGTGAATGATTCACAGAAAAGAATGAGTGCTTAATATATTTATTCAGCACCAGTATCTGGTGCTAACGGATACATACAAAAGAAAAAAAACAGAGCAATAAGTTACAAAACAATTAACAAGACAACTTACAAGGAATAGAGGGGGGTCAAAGTAGAGTGCTGAAAGGGGTGCTAGCTACTCTACAAAACTTATACAATGAAGTGATCTTAAAAGATCTAAAGGTTCTGCCAGGATTTAATACTGGTGGGGACAAATCATCATAAGATGTGCAGATGGCATCCTATTGCTGGCAAATGAGTAATATAAACTTCAGATTGTTCTAAGACAAGATAGTAAAGGAAAGCGAGAAGAAAGGACTATCAACTGTAAGAAGACGTAATGTAGTGTCTTTATCAGAAGCGACAGACCAAGATGCCAGCTACAAAGCAAGTACATAAATTAAACGATCTGAGAGGTTTTTATAACAGATGATGAAGAATGCAATACAAAAATCCGATAAACAGGAAAATGTCGTTGGAAACAAAGAAAATAATATTCAAATGTTAGGTAATATCAATATTCCCATA